TGAAGTATGACAAAGTATAATAGTATGGTATAAGTGCAAAAAGTTTAAGGCAGTAGTAGCTTCCAATTCATAGTGCAATTTTTCTGAAATTATTTTTTCCATCCGTTTTATGTCAGAAGCAGTACATTTACATTGACTAATCCGGATCACATCATGAGTGGATGGAATATTGCAGTCTTCTTCAACTATTCTAGCAGCCAGCAAAAAAGAACAGACTCCAATGCAAGACAAATGTTTAGGTTTCACCTGAGAAAAAAACAAGAGGCTTCTTTCAACAACTGTCACTTTGACTTAGTAAAGCAAATGCTTATAATACTGTAATGATGCTCCTATTCTTAAGACAGAACACAATCAAGCTGCTTCTCTTATATGTACTGGCCCTTTACCCACAGTTATACACATTGTCACATTTTAGATCTTCTCAACCTCCCTTAAAAAGAAAAAAAAAAAGGCAGCAGGGAGCAGTGGCTCATGCCTGTAATCCTAGGACTTTGGGAGGCTGAAGTGGGAGGACTGCTTGAGGCCAGGAGTTTGAGAACACTCTGGCCAACATAGCAAGACTATTCTGGTCAACACAGCAAGCCTCCACTTCTACAAAAAAAAAAAAAAAAAAAAATTTTAATTTAGAAAAAAAAGTTTTTTGAACCTTTAAATTATGTAAATTCAAATGCAGGTACAAGAACTTCCATGCAGGTTCAAAAGCTAGATTTCTAGCACTAAAGTATAATTTGTATTTCAGACTTATGAAATTCATAATACAATCTCCCCCAAAATAAAGCTTTTTAACACCAAAAAAAAAATGTACTGGGATATTAAAATATTTTATACTTATGTTCTTACGTAAAAATCTTTAAGAATCATTCCATATTTCAATGTAATTTTGCTCGAGAAAGATCACATGAGTGGCGCAGAGTGGGACATATATAAAAGCTGCCATGGACAGATGGCTGCCCTTTTCTTTTCAATGCCCTGAGAACTGACCCAGCAGCTGACAGCAATCCTACTGGCAGAAGATTCCCCACATTTTTCTAGCCATTGCTGGTGACTGTTAATAAAACCATGGCTCCCTGCTTTGAAGAGACTTCTAGGGAAGGCGGCCGGTCATATTTAATAGACTGTTATGCTTCATTTGTCACGCTTCAGTATTTTAAAAATCTAGGCTTCAAGAGAAGCATGATGGCAGATAAAATCTTATTTTGAGGACTATAAACATATGGCAAATATCTAAAAAATAGTAGTCTCTCTTTTGTCACATCTTCGAGAGACAGTACTTAAGAGGTAAAACCTAAGACACAACAGAAAAACCTAACATACAACAATACAATTAATCTTGTAGTCTTATTCTGGCACTAATGATCACAATTCTGATTATAAATTTTTATGTACAGTGGACATTATTATACCCATTCGATAAATATTTCTTGAACCCTGTGTGCTAGGCACTGGGCATAGAAAACGGAAGATGAAATACCTTCATAAGAGCCAAGAATCTGTCCAAAATATTGACGGCCAGGACAAAAGTTTCAGTGCAAGATCCAAAAAAGTTGGCTAAACTCCTTAAATCTTCAACTTTGGCATTTCTCAATCCTGGACACAAAGTGTTATCATTCTGCAATAAAAACCAAGAACCAAGGTTTACAATTTTTTTAGAACCAGATGAAGAACACATATAGATCCAAAGAATAAGGTTAATTTTTTTCCCAAGAATAAGGTTAATTTTTTCCCCTCAATCTTCAAGCATATAGATGGAAAGAGTGGTATCACTTAAGTAAAGCTATACACTTTCTCATCTATAAGACATAAATCACTGCTTCTTAAAAATATACATCATAAAAGAGCTTCAGCAATTCAATATAAGGTGAACCGTTCCAAGATTTCAGAGAGTTATAGCAAATATAATTCAATTCCCTTGAAATGGAGAGAGAGGGTTCCTTTGTTTGCTTTTGCTTTTCTAAAGTCATTTTTGAGATCCTACTATAAATAATGTATTTCACAGGCAGAGGGGGTTTTGCACAAATGAACTGCCTCAATTCACCCAGGAGTCTCTCCTATCCTGAGCTGCGCAGGAGCTGGGGGGGGGGGGGCGGGGGGGAGGCGGCGAGGAGGGTGCCACATTCAAACAAAAACAAAAACAAACCCACTTCTCTAAATAGTCACTCTCATTCTTGCTAGAAAAGCAAAGCATGACCCGGAATAAGGTTATCTTGGTACTCCAGAAGGAACAACTTCGATATTAAGAAATTCTGCAGGCTTCAGGTCATGAATTCAACGGGGGGGGGTGGTGTTACCTCCTCAAGCCCCATCAGCTGCTTGAGCAAGTTATCTTTTCTGCCAACTTACCTCCGGGGTAGCCTCAATCAAACTCAGCCCTTTTTCTCGAGGTTGGAATCTCTCTTTCTTGTTCTAGGGTAGAGGTTCAACAATCCGAGGGAGTTGACCCCTTCACGGACCTGCAAGTGCTCTTCCCCCAAATCCTTCATCTGCAGGCTAAGAACCACAACACAGAGAATGTAATCTGGAGGTAAGGGGTGGGGAAGCGCGGATAGAAAGGGCTGAGGCCAGGTACCTCCAGCAAGGATCGGCCTCAACACGACCCGACAAGGAGCGGGGGAGTGGACCAGTCACGTCCTCCAGAGCCCTTGGGGCAATCCCCACCACGGCCGAGAACAGGGGAAGGTGATGGCAGGGGGGAGGAGCCGTGGCGTCAGGTCCGCCGGCCGACGGCATGAGGTAAGGACCTGTCGCGCCTTGGCCTCTCGGCAGTATTCACAAACAGGAAACTGTCCGCGAGGCGCCGGCGTCCCTCGGTCTGCCCCCACCTGAAGAGTCGCACCAGGGCGAGGGCCTTCTTGCCCAGGGGACTGCAAGTAGGCCAGCGACTGCAGCGGGTCCGGCGGGATGGCGGGATGCACAATAGGGGGGGAGAGGCGGAGCGAAGGCTCGCCGCGAACTGAGACAGAGAAGCGGCAGGGAGGAGACTCACGAGCCCCGCACGCCCGGAGGCGCCCAGCTGCAGTAAGGCCACACATCTCGGAGAGTCCAGCCCCCCACCCGCTTTTTCCCATCCGCTGCTGCAGCCAACCGATTTCGGACCTTACCAGTAGAGAGCGGGACACCACGCAAATCCCACCAAGCGTGGGTGGCGAGGCCACCCCGAGGACTGCAAAGTCCCGGGACAGACAAATAACCGATCCAAACAAAAAAAAGAAAGTCAAATAGACCGGCCACGCAGCGCCGAACCGGACAAACACCCAAATCCTTCGACTGATGCTGGGGCCCTGCAACTCTGCAGAGCCCCGGGGCTGTCAATCCAAGAAGCACCACCCCAGCGAGCCCCCGTGACAACACGAGTGGGGGCGGGGGGCACCGAGGCGGAGACTGCCCTTAGCCTAGTCGCCCCCTCCGTCCACCCCACCAGCATCTATCTGTCCGTCGCGGGCGCCAGCTCCCCCCAGGGCTGGGGCTGAGGGCAGCACCCTGGTCGCTCCAGCGGATGAGGGGCAGGCAGCACCGAGACACTCGGATGATACTAACCTCCCGGCAGCCCACAGTCCCCACCACTAACAAAGAAACCCACGGCGCCCCTGGCCGGGCCCACTCACCGTGCCGGAGACGCGCCTCCACCCGCCCGCGGTCTCACGGTCCGCAGGGACTGGGTGCAGCGGGGACTTCCGAACCTGTCTCGCAGGTCGGGGACCCCACTGCCTCAGCGGTGCCCCCGGCCCGGCATCCGACCCTTCTTCCCAGGCACCGCCGCCTCGGCCTCACAGCCCCGGCTCCATCCCGCTCCCCACGCGCCCACCCTCCACCCGGGCGCAACGACGGCCGCCGGAGACCAGCCTGCCGCCGCACCTCCGCCGCCTCAATAGAGGCCTCCGTGAGCCTCCTGTTTTTGTTGTGAGTTTCGACGCCCCCAAGGGGGCGGGGCACGTGACTCCCCGCGGAGGGATCCTGCACTTCCTCCACGGACTTTAAAAAGAGTCCCGCCCCTAAGTCGCTGTCTCCAGCCTCTCTCGCTGCCTCCCTAGCTCTCCTTGGCTTCGCCAAGCCAGTCCTCCCGCCCGGCGCCAGGGCGGAGGGCGGAATCTGGGCGTCGGGCTTATTCCCGGATTGATTCGGATTTGGGAACAGGGGAAGACTGACGAGCGGAAGGAGATCGTTTCTAGTCTCGTTACGCATTTTAAAGGTCCCCGATTTGTTTTGTTTTCGCTGTTTTGAAAAGTCCGCCCAAAGTAGCCGGCTCTCTGATTGGATGCGGGTGGGGCGAGGGGAATGCTGAGGACCTGATTCACCCTCGAATCTGGATTGGCTAATTTATCAGTCTTGGAGTCCTCTGATTGGCTTTCTCTGTATCCTGAGCCTCTCTCTGCCTTGGGGCCTTAGCAACTCCAGGGTCTGAATTGCGCATGCCTGGGTGGGCAGCGGGGAAGGTTTTCAGTTACCTGCCCTGAGGTACTGCCTTCTCTCCTGGCTGCGTCCGCCCTTCTCGGGGGAATGTCACGCTCGCGGCGTTTCTCCAGAGCTAACCTTTGTGACAGCCCTTTCAGCCACGGGAGAGTTTTCTACATTCCTTCTTTGTTTTGTCTTGCCGTTCCATTTTGCAATAACCCACCAAATTATTATAACATTGTCGGGGCGTCTACTAAAATATTCAATAAATGCTACAAGTTTGGATGTTTGTTTTAAAATTTTCCAATCCAAGAGGAAAAAAAAGTGGAGAAGACAGGTGAAACAAGATAGGCAAAAAGTTGAGGGTCGAAGCTGGGTGATGGGTACTCGAGGCTTCATTACACTGTTCGTTCTACTTCTGTGTGTCTTGGAATTTTTCCACAATTTAAAAAAATTCAGGAGGAACTGAAGGAGGAGTTTTTAATAAAAACTTAGCACGTTGATGAGGGTACGTAAACATCTAATAATTACGGCGTACGTCCAGAGGTTGTAGTTGTGCTGTTGTTTTAATGAAGACTCCCAGAGCTGCTTGGTCCTTGGTAACCCATAAATTATCATTTATTATTCATTATAATTAGCATTGTTGTTATAGGCGACACTTCTCCCAGGACGGGACAAAAAGCAAACCAAGTGCCTTAGGCCAGAGACACTTTCACATGGATATCAATGGGGGATGTGGAACATTTATTTGTTTACTCTCTCACTCCTAAATTAGTAAATACCGTATTCTTGAGTTCTAATCTACATAATCAGCCACTGGGAACAGTTTTCTCTTCTCTGTTCTTCTGTATGTTTTCTGTGAATTATTTTGTTACTTGTGAAATATGGGAAGGCACACGGCATAGCTTTGGCAGCGCTCTTCTTTGCAGAGCAGCTAAGGAATTTTTGAAGTAGGTCCCTTTGCATATTAGCCCGGACTAAACACAGGCATCTGTTTGGAGCACAGAGCAACTGGGGGAAAGGAGCCCAAAAAGCTAACACCTATTTCAGAGAGGTGTGAGCTTGGTGAGCGTTTTGGAAAATAAGGTAAAATTAGCACACTAGTTTTAAATGATTTGCAGGCTACATAATTTTATCCAATGCTTATTTTATCTTTTAAACATTAAGTGATAACTTTTACTTGGCATAATCATCTTGCTGGAAATCTATGCTGATAAACATAATAGGAACATGAAACTAACTTGGAGACTAGAGCTAAGATTAAAATTACAGAGATGACAGCTCATTGTACAGAGCATCAAAAGGCTGAGTGAACAGGGCCCACAGACAGCAGCTCCACCAACTGTCCACCACCAGAGAAATGAGAGTTCGTGATCAAAGCATGAAGGAGACTGGGGATGTTTTTTTCAAGAAGGCAAAGGTAAAAAAAGGAACATACGTTAGTTTATAAGTGATGTGAAAGAGGAAATGCAAATTTATGTGGTAGAATTTAAAAATAACAGACTATATAAAACAAAAAGGAAAAGATTGAGAAATTGCCCTTTGCTTAGGCTACATAATTTTATCCAATGCTTATTTGATCTTTTAAACATAAATAAGTGATAACTTTTATTTGACATAGTCATCTTGCTGCTTAGATCACTAAATGTTATGAAGCTATACTAAATGTGTACTATATATTTCATAACTGGTATTTTATGTGTCCTTTTACAGACAGCCTCTTGAATGATGTGAACAGTGATGGCTTTCTCTGAGAGTAAGACAAGAAAAGCTTTGTAAATGGTGCCGAATTTCCTGCTCTTGGCACGCCCTGCTCAGCACAGAAGAAAAGACTGATCAGGTTGTCCAAGATGGAATCCTTTATCCACTTTAGTCCACTTATCTCTTTAAGATTAAAGGAAAGCAGTCATTAAAAATATAGATCCAGTAGTTATTAATACCGCATCCTCTTTTTTAAACACCTCATTTTAAGGATAATGATATTCTTGGGAAATGGGCTTGGGGGATTATGTAGGTTTTCTCTGTTTACTTTGCAGAATTTTTTGTTTGTTAATATATCTTTAAAAAAAATTACCCTCATTCTGTTTGTCCTTATCACCTTGGCTTACCTTGCTGGAGGTGAAAGTGTTATTTATGAAAAAAGACATTATTCCCCTTAGGCTAATCAGGCTTTACCCGTTAGCCTTTCCGGAGCTTTCTGGAGGGCAAATTTCCTATATCATGCATACGTACAAAATAAGGAAGTCAGAAACCTGGCAGCCCCCAAGAACTTCCAGACAATTTAAGATACTTGATACTTGATCTTCTACAATACATGGTAGGGGTTCTGTGGGGTTGAGTGATACTGTCACCAATAACCCCATGAAGGCCTGATGTGCAGCCCATTGTCCTCGGTGACATGTGAGACTGAAGCTAAAAGGTGCTCACAGAATGGGTAATAAGCAGGGAGTGCCCACACAGAAACAATGACTACATTTAGTGAATCCCTGACTCCTGACAAGTGTCCTGCAAACCTGCTCACACTTACGCTTCTACCGTGAAAACAGGGCACTCCCATGGGACAGCTGTAGTACTTCTCTAAATGACTTAGACTTCCCTGAACTTCATAAGGCATCAAAATTGCTACAACTTTCCAAATCTCATCTTTCTCCTCAGAGATACAGTTTTTGACAATAAATCCTAGCTTTTTATTCAATCGAAAGTTAATCAATACAGATTGAGTGCCAGGCACCCTACTAGGCATCAGGGATACAAAAATACGTAAATAAAACAAGGCCCCAGAATATACCCTGATATGTCTGAGGTATAGGGCAAAAGCACTGGCCTTGGATCAAACTGGCCTTGTGTCCCAGCTTTCCTACTCATTAGAGATGGTGCCTTGAATACCTTGAATAATTCTGATGGTCTTGAGCCTCAGCTTTCTAACCTGAGGCAAACAAAAAGCCAGAGGTAATTGTGTCTGCTTCATATGTGATGACTGAATACAAATGTTTGTGAAAGCAACTAGCTATATATTTCTAGGCCGTTGGAATTTTTCACCATGTTGTAACTTCATGAAGGGAAAGGAAGGGATTATCCCTAACCTCATCAAAGAAGTCTGGTGGAAAGCAGCCCCGAAAGGAAAGAACCTGAGGATAAGGATATGTAAAGCTGACATGAGGCCATACTCCCCCTCCCTGTCTACTCACTATTGCTGAGTCCCTGGCTGGGCTGTTTTCTGTCATTAGGCTGAGCACAGTGGTTCACACCTGGAATCCCAGCATTTTCGGAGGCTGAGGTGGGAGGATCACTTGAGCCCAGGAGTTCAGGACCAGCCTGGGCAACATAGCAAGACTTCATCTCTACAAAAAATTTAAAAAATTATCTGGGCATGGTGGCATGCACCTGTAGTCCCAACTACATGGGAGCCTGAGGCAAGAAGATTGCTTGAGCCTGGGAGGTCTACAGTGAGCCATGATGATGTCACTGCACTCCAGCCTGGGCAACAGAGCAAAACCCTATCTCAAAAAAAAAAAAAAAAAAAGGTGGTTTGCAGCCCCAAACTTCCTGCTTAGATAAGTCCTGCTTCACAGAACCTTCAATGGAGACAGAAATGCCTCTCCGAGGAAGAGGAACAGGGAAGGTATAGCATAGTAGCATAGGGTGCCATCTTAAAGTGATGCAGATTTTTCAACCAAGAGCTCATTTTTAAATCAGAACCTGGAAGAATGAGATGATTTATATAGCAGATGATTAATCACTTTTCTTCAAGCAATCAGTAGAATAAGTCAGTGAGGCATCTCATATATTCTCCTTTCTGATTTTCCCACGAACAAGATCATCTCAAATTTGAAATCAACATTTTACAATCCATTTACTATACATTCAAAATCAACATTTTACAATCCATTTACTGTATATTTTGTTGCTTTAGTTGTTAATGCTAGAAGCATGCCCTGTTTTTTTGGAAGAGTGTTTGTGCAAGGGTTGGCCATATTCATAAACATTCATAGTGTTTAACTTTGTAGGGTTGGCTTTGGAATTGTGGAAATCAGCCACACTGTAGACACCATCTGAATGACTAGAGCAAGAGGACCAGTTTTTCCAGCCACCCAGTTTAGCCCCTCCCAGTTCTACTAGCCTGCAAGAGAGTTAGCCTTGTATAAACTATCTCTGCAACCTGAGAACCTGAGAAGTCAATGCTCCGTGGACTCTGAAGCCCGACTCAGTACTTTGTTATCCAGTGCTCCCTCTTTTACAGGAAGAATCAATTGAAATAAATGAAGTAGCTTTGACATGATGTGAAAAGGCTGGCAGAGGAGAGTGAACTGAGAATTTGGCAATGCCAGAAATCAGAACTAATCATCTCAAAATCATCTTAAAATATATTTTAAGTGGCCCAGGCTACATTCTGGAACATTGTACACGCTTCTTTACATAACACATTTTTCCTTCATGGTTTGTTCCAAGAACCATGACCTAACTCAGAGATTTCCTGTCTTTTCTTGACATCACAATGCTATATGAAGTTGACACTGTCAGCAAAGAGCAACTTGGGATACATCTGTTGACTATATCATCGTATTTCCAAAATAAGTTTTACTGTCTGTGAGAGTCATGATCTCTTTTTTAATCTCAAATGAAAAGGCAATTGATGTTTAAAGTGATATGGATAAGTGATATAAGCTTAAAAGTTAATGGGTGCAGCACACCAACATGGCACATGTATACATATGTCACAAACCTTTACGTTGTGCACATGTACCCTAGAACTTAAAGTATTTTTTTTAAAAAGCTTAAAATTTGCTTCTGTTAACATTTTAAAGTGTTTTCAAAGTGAAAGTTTTTTTTTTTTTTAACTTTAAAAATAAAGACTGCTGGTGAAACCCTGTCTCTACTAAAAATACAAAAATTAGCTGGGCGTGGTGGTGCACGCCTGTAGTCCCAGCTACTTGGGAGACCGAGACAGGAGAATCACTTGAACCCAGGAAGTGGAGGTTGCAGTGAACCGAGATCGCGCCACTGCACTTCAGCCCAGCGACAGAGCGAGACTCTGTCTCAGAAGAAAGGAAAGACTGCTTTATATCAAAGATCCTCAGGTCTGTTTAATTACATATATTTTTATGTTTTCTACCACATTCTGAATAAGAAATTGTGGCTAAGTGCAGAAGTAGAACCAGATTTAAGGCAGTAGGTTTGAAGCTTTACTATTTGGAGGGGCTCTCTCTAGGAAAAAAGGTAGGATTTACAAATATAAAATTAAATATGAAAGTGAATACTTATTTAAAACGAGACAATTCAAGACAAAGTGTCAATTTTTAAAAGTTGTTATATACTCACTGCTCCAGCTATCTACTGCTGTACAATGAATCACCCCAAAACTTAGTGACTCAAAACAACAATAATTTTATTATCATCACCCACAGGTCTGGGCGTTGGTTGAGCTCATCTGGGCAGCCCTTGCTCAGGGTTTCTTATGAAGTTGTAATCAGATGGTAACTGCGGCTGGTATCATCTTGCTGCCACTCAACGTGTCTGGAGTGATGCTGACTGTGGGCTGGGACCTCAGCTGAGGCTGGTGGATGGAACACTTACATGTAACCACTCCACGTGGTCTTTCCGTTTCCTCATGGCATGGTGTCAGGGCCTGAAGGAAATCAGGTGAACACTGTGTCTCCTTTTACAAACCAGCCTTGGCAGTCAGATAGCATCTGTATTCGTTTCACACTGATGGTCTAGGAAATTACCACAAATTTAGGGATTTAAAACAACAAATGTTTATCATATTATAGTTCTGGAGGTCAGAAGTTCGAAATGGGCCTCACTGGGTTAAAATCAAGGTGGCAGCAGGGCTGCAGTCCTTCTGAAGGCTCTAGAGAGTATTCATTTTCTTGCCTTTTCCAGCATCTACAGGCCACCTGCGTTCCTTGGCTTGTGACCCTTCCTCCATCTTTAAAGCCAGCATCATGGCATCTCCAGATCTCTCTTGACTCTGACTCTTCTGCCTCCCACTTCCAACTACAAGGACCTTAGTGATTATATTAGGCCCACCTGAATAGTCCAGTATAGTCTCACCATCTCAAGGTCAGCTGGTGCTTGCTTCAGCATCACATAAAATTGTTTTGTTTTTGTTTTTGTTTTTTTGGTTTGTTTTTGTGGGGGGGGTTTTTTGCTTGTTTGTTTTGAGGTGGAGTCTTACTCTGTCACCCAGGCTGGAGTGCAGTGGCACGATCTCGGCTCACTGCAACGTCTGCCTCCTGGGTTCAAGTGATTCTCCTGTCTCAGCCTCCCAAGTAGCTGGAATTATAGGTGTGCACCACCACGCCCTGCTAATTTTTGTATTTTTGGTAGAGATGGGGTTTTGCCCTCTTGGCCAGGTTGGTTTTGAATTCCTGACCTCAAGTGATCTACCCACTTCAGCCTCCCAAAGTGCTGGGATTACAGGCGCGAGCCACCACATATATTAAAATTGGAATGTTACAGAGAAGATTAGCATGGCCCCCATGCAAGGATGGCAGGCAAATTTGTGAAGTGTTCTGTATTTTTGAGAAAAAGAAAAGTTTGGGCATGGTGGCTCATGTCTGTAATTCCTGCACTTTGGGAGGCTGAGGTGGGAGGATTGCCTGAGCCCAGGGGTTCTAGACCAGCCTGGGCAACATGGCAAGATGTTATCTCTACAAAATTTTTAAAAATTAGCCAGGCATGGTGGCATGCGCCTGTAGTCTCAGCTTGGGAGGCTGAGGTGGGAGAATCACTTGAGTCCGGGTCAAGGTTGCAGTGAGCCATGTTCACGCCACTGCACTCTAGGCTGGGTGACAGAGAAAGACCCTGTTTCAAAAAAAAAAAAAAAAACAACAAAAAACAAAAAACCAGAAAAAAAAAAAAAGAAAAAAGGTCAGATTTGCAACCTTAATTCCACCTTGCTATATTACATAAC